CCGACGTAAAATCTTTTCGACGCGGCTGATACGTTTGTGAGATAACGCACACGCCCGATTTATGTAGAATAATTATTCAAATGTAAAAGCGTCAGTTTTTTAAGTTAACATTAGAATGAAAATTTCTCCTATTCTTCTTCAAATGTGTGTTAAGTTTTGAAAAATTTATTAAGCTTTTATTTACGTGTATTATCGAATAATATGTATTTAATGAATTCTACCGAGTTTGTAATTAATTAAGAATGTAATTTGTAAGTGATGTTAAAAAACAGAAAAATTGCTACATATCTCTGTGATTGTGTTTTAAAAATACACAATATAATTACAACTTATATACATTATAATACAATATTTTATTTTTTACGTTATTCCTATTAGATGGAAACAAATCTGTGTGATTTCAGGGTGACGTAAGGGATAAGAGAGAGAGAGAGAGAGAGACTAGAAATCGTAAGATTGAGAACCATCACGTGTTATATCGCGGAGACAAAACTCGTCAATGTTTTTACGCAAAAGGGATTCGAGACGATTACTACGATGATACGTTTCGAGTTAGGAGGGCTTTCGCGACTGTCCGTACCGAGATCGCTCTACGAGAAAGGGGCGAGTGGTGACAGTACGAAGGGCTGACCGACGAAGGGTGTGGGCCATGAAAGTCGGAGTCGTCCGGGCAATCTTGTTTTGAGCTTCTAATAATACCCGACGTATCGGCTCTCGCTGGTATTTTTATGGCCTGGCCCGGATATATGGACGCGTCTCCATACGTATGTGCCGCCATATATAACGGGCGGACAAATAAAAAGGTAACAACGTAGCGGTGGACAAATAGCTTCCAGCCCCCGAAAACCGCCGATAGGCCGGCGACGCCCCACGCCTTCGACAATATAATGCGACGCAGAAATGTTTTGTCTTCCTTCTCTCTTTCTCTTTGTTGTATCCGTGCGTGTATATATGCATGAGTGCGTACGTGCGCGTTTCCGAGTGAGGGTGATCGAACATAAATCAAGCCCTCCACGTGTTACCGCGCGATCGAATTCGGTGGATCATTTTACTGCGCGTCGATGATTAACCAATCATTTTTACAATTCATTTTATTAACTCGTTGACTAAAACAATTTTCTTCTCGTGACACACAACTTATTTGAACTGAATTAGGATCAGTTTCTGTACTACTTTTCAAAGTAATGAAAATCAAATGAAAAGCTTTAACAGTGTGCTAAAATTATTATAAATAGTTTCGATTATATTGTACACTTTTGTTTAATAAAATGGAAAATTCATAGATCCATTTCAAGATACATTAGAATTCTAGTATTTATTTTATAACATTTTACACATTTTATAAATTTTACACTGGTATAAGTAATCTTATTGCAGCTATAATAATCCGAAAACCTCTTATATTAAGATAACATTGTTTATTATCTCTCAAAAACTAAAAAAAGAAAAAAGTTGATCCTCGCATCTTCCTATATACGGCTAAATTAAAATCTTAAAAATGACGATATGCTTGATAATGTTTATGAAAACCAATAAATCAAGACAGATTTGTATTTCTATGACAAAAGCGAAAGACGTAGTCTGCTTTCATGAAAACAAGCTGCAACATTATTTTATTTCATTTCGAAGATGCAAAGCTGCAGTGACTGTTGAAGCCACTTGGTTGACGTGTCTCGTATTCGACGTATCCGCTTTGGAGTATAGTTTGTATCTCCCAGCACGCTCTTAGTTAGGCCGAAGCGAATTGGTAAGCATCGAAACGTGTTACATGAAGAGGCACGAGAAAGAAAAGACGGCACGGCTCGTAAAACAACATTTACCGAGTGTCTCGACTGGTCGACCGCAGTTATTACGAACGAATATACGTCACGCGGTCGCGGCGTACGGGCTGATGGTGACAGTTCAATCCGAACTTCGGCGTTCGGCGGTTAGGAACGCAGCCCACAAAACCGCACGCGTGATTTCTGCCGCTCTTTGCACCCCGTCGAATGACCGACCAGTCCTACTAGCTGCTGCCGTTCGCCCTCTCAACCCTTCCGCGGAATGCACGCGGAATGCCTCCGGAATGCCCGAGCAAGAATGTTCCGCGAATGATTCGCTCTCCCCAAATTCTCCGGGGGAAAAAAAATGGTTCACACGAGTGCGTAGCTCTCTCTCTCTCTCTCTCTCTCTCTCTCCCTCTCTCTCTCTCCAATCATCATTCAATCATCTTTTGACACAATAAATTAGACAATTACGATACGAATTTGAGCCGAATAAATCTAATTAAATAAGAGAAATCTTATATTCGGTCAAACATCCAATCTAAGTCGCCACTGCTCCTCAATTCAATAGGAGCATGCAGGAACTGCCCGAATTATATAGATTAAATAGATTAAATTTGACACTATATAGATTTAACAGTAAAACGGATTTTAGCTTTATTATATTGAATCTATATTTTCTATTTCAATATTTCTGTGTGAATTTATAGGTATACCAACATTTTGTAAACCACGTGCCGAAATTTTTTACCGCCTTGAGGCAATAATCATAAGCGGAAGCAGAGTAGTAATATCTCTTATTAAACTGACAAGAAATATAATTGATGATGCTAATAATCTTTACAAAAATATTAACAATCTGGTGTCAATAATTTTTAAATCCGTGATTAATTTATTGAGTAAACGTAATGGACAAAAAAAAGTGATGCAAAATAGATAGCGGTTTTTAAATACGCAAATAACAAATTTAATACGCTTCTGAAGAATTCATATTCTACAGGATTTCTAAATATAACTCCATTAATATATTGTACCGAGCAAAAATATCATTTTCGATCTTTAGAATTTCTAAAATATTTAGCTTTGAATTTATTTTCAATTTAAAGTGTGTCCATATCACGCTAAACTTAGGTCTTATCGATTTCAGAGTCCATTTCAAGAATACAACTCTCAACTCATGCATAATACCTAAGATAAAAACCTGCCTATTATAAATACAAATATATATTCAACTGTCAATATCATTAACTTTGTGACAATGCTTTTTTTCTAAAGTTAATATCCTTTTAAAGAGACTTTTTGTTTCAAACGACTGTAGAACTCGATCCAATTCATTCATCTGTTGAAAGGAGAAAAGTTTCATCTATATTGATATCAATATAAATAGTATCTAGCCACTTTGATATAAAAACTTTGAAAAAAAAACAAAATCACCGAATTGGATGTCGCTCATATACTTATACTACGCGTAAGATGACAGTTTCGATATTCCACGCGCAGGCTATTTGCACGAACGTGGCGGAGGGCCGCCCGAGGGCGGCTAGGGGCCATCAGCGTCGCGATGCGCTTGAATTTTCTCGCAGAGGCCATCCTCTTCTCGCGGTTGCCGGCTAAGC